GGGTGAGCCTTTCTTCCCAAACACATTCTATTCATTTTCTCAATTCCAGTATACTCATATACATACTGACTTAAGCATCAGAGGCTCTTCACCGTACACAACCCCCGGTGTGAGAGTTATTTGCAGGTTTCCGGCGTTCTACCGGCAAGGACCCAGATATATCCGTTCGAACCGGACCAGGACGCTTACACTTGCATTATCATGTTTTTCAGGTCACAGAGTCGGAGCCGAGGAGTGAGCGGGCGACCGGTTCAGGACATTTGTATATATGTATAAATTGTGTTTGGCTACACTATGGTTCCGCTACTATTTCAGTTTACTAAACCAACTTTTGATCCGACGTTAGTCTGTTATCATGTTATAAAACCGTTTTATTAAACTAAAATTAACGGTTTTCAGAATAAGACAGATTTCACGGTAACACTCCGAATCAGATTTTGCAAAAGAAATATTTTATTTTATTTAGAAAATTTGCGAAAATCGCACTCTGATTTTCATGAAATAGCGGGGTGTTACATAATCAATATATTATTTATAACTTGGAATTTATATATTTAATTACTACATTATTTCTAATTAATTGTTATGATATTTTTACTTTACGTTATGATATATATAAATAGAATCACAGACTAAATATCGAGTAACCCAGTTGGTGGGAGATGCCCTTTTTAACCCAAAGTTACAGGTTCAATCCTCACCTTTGTGATTTTAATTTTAAGGTAACATATTGACAACATGGCATAATCGTATATCTATATATATATAATTGTTGGCTAATAGTATTTAATAAAATATTTAATAAAACCTCATTTCGATTTCCCTACCAAAAACCGTTACAAACTTTATCATTTATATTTCTTTCTATATTTAATTACTAATAATAAATTTAATAATATTAATTATTGTTTACCATCTTTTTATGTTACAATCTTCTATTATTATTATTATTATTATTATTATTATTATTATTATTATTAATATTATTATTATTATATATATATATATAATTACTAGCTGATGCATTTAATAAAATATTTAATAAAACCTCTTTTTATTTCCCTCCAAAAGGAGTTAGAATTTTTTTAATTAATTACTCACTAATCTGTTAAAGCCGTTACACCTTAATATATATATATATTTTTATTATTTATTTTTTGGATCAGTTACTCAATTAATTCTAGATTTGGTAGCAAAATATTCAAATGTGTAACAGCTATTGTTTGGAACTTAAAGTTGATTGGCACATTCAGAGCTGTAACCGCTATATTTGGTTGCATTGTTGGAAGAAAAATATGATTTGCACATATTTTTTTCTAAAAATTAGAAACACCAATAATTTTTTTATTATGTTAATTTTCTTAATATATGTCACAAATCTATAAATTATTTTAAACGTTGCATGGTTAAAATAAAATTAAATCTCAATCAATTTTGAATGATAAAAATAACTTAAGAAAAAGTAATAATTTTTATATGATAGAAGTATATGTCTAATTAATATATACAAACAAAAAACGTGTTTTATATCTGTGCAAATGCACAGGATCAAATACTAGTTCATTGATAAAGTAAGGATATAATAATAATTGAACAAAAAGTAACGCCGTCAATATTAAGGTAACGTCGTTACATAAAAGGGCAAGTCTACATGTAAACATTAAATGCAAGGAGATTTGACACAATTTTTGAAATACGAGGCATAAAAGGGTGAATCTGCATGTAAACTTTAAATACAAAAGAGTTTAGCGCAATTTTTAAAATACTAATAAAAAACACGCTAATTTCGTATAATACAGAGATTTA